GAATGCAGGGATTTGGACGAGATAACATCCAACGAAGAGGTGCGCGCGGCGATTGCTGATCAATTTCCAGCAATAAATGTAAGTGACATCAACGTCAAGTTTTGGCGTGCCGCAAGGGACAGCACAAGATCAGCAATTATTGACCTTCCTACTAAGGATGCCAGTGTATTGATTGCAGCTGCCTCAGTCAGAGTTGGCTGGGTACGCAGTAGGATCAGAAAGCATATCACACCCATGAGGTGTTTCAAATGTCTTCAATTTGGACACGCTGCTAGACAGTGCAAAAGCGATAATGACAGATCAGGCACATGTATGAGATGTGGACAAGATGGTCACAGGGCAAAAACGTGCTCGGCGCAACCAAAATGCATCCTACGTCCGGAAAACTGCAACGGTGGCAATCTACACTACTCAAGAAGTTCCAAATGTGAATTCTACAGGAAGGCTATACAGGAGCTTAAGTCCAAAAAATGATTAAATTTCTGCAATTGAACCTAAATCGATGCGAAGCTGCCCAAGACCTTTTATCCCAAACAGCTTTGGAATTAAAGACAGATGTACTCATAATTAGTGAGTTTTACAAATCAAAAGAAACCTCCAAATGGGTACAAGATACTACTGCAAAGGCTGCCATTTGGCTAGGACAGGACATAGTGTTTGAACCAAGAGTATTGATACAAAAAGAAGGTCTAGTACTTGTCAGAATCCGGGGTATCTATGTGTGCAGCTGTTACATATCCCCAAATATCTCCCAAGAGAGATTTGAAGAGTTTCTTGATAGGCTATCAGGAACAATCAGAAACAAAACTCCCATCATTGTTGCAGGGGATTTCAATGCTTGGGCAGTCGAATGGGGCAGTAGTAATACAACGCGCCGAGGTAGAGCCCTATTAGAAACGTTTACCTCACTAAACCTAATACAACTGAACAATGGGCATAGCCCAACGTTCGATAATGGTAGAGGCGTTTCCTACATAGATCTCACCTTTGTCAGCCCGTCATTAGTAAGGGGTTCGCAATGGAATGTAACAAACCACTACACCCACAGCGACCATCATGCAATTCTTTTTTCCTTATCGCTAAAAGAGAAGTTTGTTTTGAAAAAATCGCAGAGAAAAGCACAGCAAATAGGCTGGAAAACTAAGTATCTTGACACAGAGATAATGGAATTCATGACCGAAAACATGAGTTTCGGAGTCGGGGATGCTTTTGAAAAATCAAATCACCTTATGAAGGAATTATGCAACGTCTGTGATGCATCAATGCCAAGAAAAGGCAGAGGTAATGGGCGCCCATCAAACTATTGGTGGACGGAAGAAATAGCTTTACTAAGATCTCAGTGCTTTGCCTCCCGTAGGCAATTCCAACGTCACAGATCGGGAGTAGATGCGGAAAGGCTTCTACAAAAATACCGAGAGAACAGATCTAAACTTAAAAAGGCAATTATTAGGAGTAAGAATCAAGCTTTTCAAACTCTGATCAATGATGTAGACCAAAATGTCTGGGGCGATGGCTACAAAATAGTAATGCGTAAATTTAAGAGGTTAAGAGGCTCGGTACCTTCATGTCCTAAAATAATGGCGAATATCGTGAAACATTTGTTCCCAAAAAAGGGAGAACTTAGAATTTTAATACCGATAAACACCGATTTAAATGAGATACCTCCGGTTACAAATTCTGAAGTCATAGCCGCTTCTTCCAGAGTTAAGCCCAATAAATCTCCTGGTTTGGATGGAATCCCCAATACTGTACTGAAGAAGGCAATACAAAAACAAGCTTCTATATTTACGGATGTTTACAACAGCTGCCTACAGGAAGGAATCTTCCCTTCGTGTTGGAAAAAGCAAAGATTGGTGCTTATTCCTAAAGGTAATAAGTCCCCAGAACTGCCATCATCTTATAGACCTTTATGCTTATTAGACACTGCAGGTAAGGTCCTTGAAAGAATTATAAGTTCTAGATTAGAAAAATTCACAGAGGCAAGTCAGGGTCTATCAAATAACCAATTTGGCTTTAGACCTAAACGCTGTACTGTTGATGCTGTACTACATGTATGCAACATTGCAAAGGAAGCTACTAAGGGCGTAAGGTGGCTAGGTGGTACTAAAAAGTACTGCGCGGTAGTGACCTTAGACGTTAAAAATGCTTTCAACACTGCTGAGTGGAGTAGCATCTTAAATGCACTGATGAAAATGAGAGTCCCAGAATATCTTTTGAAAATTATAACATCGTATTTTAAAGACAGATTACTCTTATATGATACAGAATCCGGACCCAAAATATATAGGATTACGGGAGGGGTCCCCCAGGGATCAGTTCTAGGGCCAATTCTTTGGAATATCATGTACGATGGTATCCTTCGAATTGAAAAGCCGGACGGAGTGCACGTAGTTGGGTATGCAGATGATATTGCAATAGTAGTGGTTGCAAAAACTCTAGACGAAGTGGCTAGGAATTGCAGCGCTACTATTGCAGCAGCTAAATCGTGGCTGCAATACAGCGGATTAGAGCTTGCTGAACATAAAACTGAGGTGCTATTAATCACAAGTAGGAAAAAGATTGAACAACTCTCAATTAAAGTGGGTGGAGTAGATATACAATCTAGCCCCCAACTTACATATCTTGCTGTAACCTTAGATAGTAGGTTGAGTTTCAAAACTCACCTAAAACAATCGGGAGATAAAGCATCACGTGTCTGCAACGCATTATCTCGATTAATGCCAAACATAGGAGGTCCCAAGGACACCGCTAGAGTTCTTTTAGCATCAGTCTCCAAGTCGGTGATGCTTTATGCTGCTCCGGTGTGGGCACATGCTACAACCATTAAGTCGTATTCACGTGTAATGAAAAGTGCACATAGATTGTCAAACCTACGCATCTGCCGTGCTTACCGTACAGTATCGGACGATGCTGCGGGAGTATTGGCTGGACGCATGCCAATAGACCTTGAAGCGTTCTTGGCCAGAGACAATTTCTTACAGCGCTCTCGTCGGCGAACGACTGAAACTGGGCAATCTCTGGCAGAGTCTTATCTAGATATAAGAGACAAATACCTTAATGAATGGCAACATAGGTGGGACCATTCCCAAAAATCAAGATGGACGCATTCGTTAATTCCAAATATAAGAGTTTGGATTAACCGAGGATCTGGAGACTTGGGATTTCAATTAACACAGTTTCTTACGGGGCATGGCTGCTTCCGTGAATACTTATACCGGTTTAGGCTAGCAAGTAACCCGTACTGCCAGTCCTGTCCAGATAAAATTGAGAGTCCTGACCACATAATTAGAGACTGTATAAGATTCGTAGATACTAGACAAAATCTAGAGACACTAATTGGGGAATCCAGCCCTTCTACTATGGTAATGCAGATGTTGGCAAGCATCGAAGAATGGAGCTTTTACAAGAGCATAATCTCTAGAACAATAAATACTGTTAGAGCGGACGAAATACTTAGTACACAATCGGAGTGAATGCACGCTAAGTGCTCTTCTAACCTGCCCTGTGAAGGAATACCTTAATTGGTCGTACTGCAGGGATTTTCAGGATTTTGAGTTGAGAATGTAGGGGACTTTTTAGTCCGTAGGCATGTATGACTCAATTTGAGTCGTGCATGAATCGGGCATGCAAATGGTACGGGCCATTTGTATCTTTTGAAGATTTTTCCCCCAGGTCCGATACCAAAAAAAAAAAAAAAAAAAAATCCCACCTATCGACCATTCAAAAAATTTCTAACTTCATCTACTTCAACTTGTACTTGCTGTACATTTTCGTTTGTGTTTTCACTTTAAATTAAAACAGTTGCACTATCAAAACCCTTATATACATACTTATACATATATTTAATACTTTTGATGGAAGTGCACACCTCGACATTAATGTGACAATTATATTTTACAAGCAAATATGGATTGTATGGAACGACATAACGATTATCTAAAGACTTTCTTCTAACATCAACGGAAACGTTATAATCGCGTCGTCTATATAACAGATAACCATAAAGTGATTCTTTCGTTGATTGTACAAAATCCTTTGGAAATTGTTTTGAACATATTCCAGCTTGCATACATACAGAGCTTGGATTCAAAATACCGCATGGACCGTGCATCATGTGTTTAACAACACATTCATATAATTTTGGCTATAAATTTTTATCCGGCATCTCTGCACAAACTATTTTATTAATATCAGTCATCCCGACAATTTTGTTATTTTCATATAAAGTTATCAAAATGTGAGCATGAGCAAACCTCTTTTTTAAAATTCGATTGTATATATAAGAGCCTCAACCTTGCCAAAAACAGATTTATTCCAAATGTCAGATATGAGTTATTTTAACTTCGATTTAATATACGCATAACTATTTCAGGTCTAAAAGGAGATGAACGATATTATATACAATCTCCGGCCAATTCGGATTACAAGTCAGTGTAACAAAAAACAATAGCTTGCCGAAGTGCTGAACAATTGACATTGCATCTAAGTAATTTTGATACATATTTTTCGGAGACCCAGTGAAGTGCTGAACAATTGACATTGCATCTAAGTAATTTTGATACATGTTTCTCGGAGACCCAGTGAAAGAAGGATGAAGGTAAAATTACTTTACGACCTAAGCTACCATCTCCTACTTGAACCGTTTGCAAATAATCAGTAGAATTGTTATTCTCGATTCTGTCTTATAAAATATGGTCGATATCATTCTATTCTCACATACAAGTTACAAATTGTATTTACTTTTAATAATAAAATAAAACACTGCCGTTTCGTTTGCCGTTTCTTTATTAAAATAATTATGATGAGAATAATAACTTATGTCTAAACCTTAAGGTCTAAGCATCACTTCCAGCTTCGCTTCTAAACATTACCATAAAAGGAAATGCTTCACAAAAGATACATTAATGCTGTAATTTCCAGCCTTTGCTCTACGAGTACTGAGTTTATGTTTACAAAAAATAAACTTTTACAATATGTATTAAGGCGGTGTTAGACGGTAAGTAAGCAGCTGATTTTGTTTACATTGGAACATGCAAATGAAATATTTTCAAAAGTTCCAGTCGGTAGTTGAGTGTCCGCAAGTGTAGTGAAATTCTGTGTTATTTTTGTTGAAAGTGAAATAATTAACAATAGTTTAAGTAAATTATTAACAAATATGTATAATCAAAATGAATTGACTGTGCAAGCTTGTAATTTGTTTCTAAACATATTGCGCTTGTACAGCATGAGAAATCAAATGCGCAATAGAAGGTGGCGAGTTCGTCCTATTAATGTGGATCGTGCTCTACATGGCTATTACCGAAAAACGTTTTTAGCCATAAAAGAAAAAGATAACGAAGAATTTTTTAGTCATACACGGATGTCTAAAGAATTATATACTTTATTATTGAAGTTAATAGCTCCTTCTGCGACAAAATGTGGGCAGCAAATAAATGCTGATGAACGTTTATCACTTACTCTTTTGTAAGTTACATGTACTGTTTTATTAGTAATTTTAGTAAAAATAACACGAACATTTTTTAAAGGTATTTGGCACATGGCGTCCCTTTACAGAGTTTAGCATGGAGCTATAAATTGGGAAGAACTACAGTTAGAAACACCGTGTTGGAAATGTGTGATATTATTTGGCAACTACTATCACCAATATATTTAAGTGAACCTACAGAAGAGCAATATCGGCATATTGCATCAGATTTTTGGCAAACATGGAACATTCCAAATTGTGTTGGTGCAATTGATGGCAAGCATGTTGCTATTAAATGTCCTCGGGGATCAGGTTCCCAATTTTTTAATTATAAAAAATTTTTTAGCATCGTACTAATAGCAGCTTGTGATGCTAAATACACTTTCACTTCGGCAAGCTTGGGAGCATATGGTAGTCAGAGTGATGGAGGTAGTTATATTTAGTTTGTATAATAATGTATTGTTAATATAATAATAATATAATAATAATGATATAATAATATAATAATGATTGTTAATTTGTAGGAATATTTCGAGTAACAAGATTTGGTAAAGACTTGGCTGAAAACAAATTACCGTTGCCTCGCAGTATATTTTTATATATAACTAATGTTTTAATATTATTTATTATTATTAAATAAGTATTTCTCTTCAATATTTATTATACCACAAATTAAATTCTTTCTACTGATTATTGATCAATATATAAGATATTAATTATTGATATTATAAAATAAATAATATTAACTATTATAAAATACAATTACCTATTGTAAAAATGTTAACAAAATAAATTTATTAAAATATTTTCTGCTGATTATTTTTGCTATATAGAAATATAATCAATATTCAGCAATATTAATAAAATAATTATATAAAAAAATATAATATAAAAAAAAAATTTATTAATAATCACATTCATAATCACAATATTTTTTCGTCTACTCTCGTTATAGTAAACATATTCCTCACATAATTGCAACGCATCCACCCTCATCAAGGTTTTGCGAGCAACTGAGCACAGTTTTTAAAATCGCTTAACGTCAAAACCTAATTGAATTTGATTTTTCTATAAGTTCGCCACATATGTTTATTTCGTTCCTATCAAATACACAGGTTTGGTTGTTTGTGCATTTCGCTTTGACTTAACTTCTTACGTTAACTACCGTCTAACTCCACCTTTACTTATTTAATAACAACATACACATAGCCAATAAACTCTGAGTACACCTTACGAATTTTGATATGTGATAAAGAAACATAACATAAATAAATATTTTTAATTAAAATTTTTACATATATTTATTCTTTGAATTATTAAGTTTAAATAGCAAAAGACAAAAATTGTTATCGACTATTCATTCCAGAGATAACGGGATAAAAGTGTGCCTGCATGTAAAAATAGGCCCCATAAAGTCTGCGTACAGTTATAAAAAAACTGATAAAATCGGTAAAAATAATAAAAATAAAGTTAAATTTTATTATAAATTTTATTAAATTAATACTTTGTTGGGTAACCACGCTGTTTTAGAACTTCACTTAATCTATTTGGCATGGAATTAACCAACTTCTGAATTTCTTCAGCAGTAATTTTCATCCATTCTGCTTGCATTGTACTCCGCAAAGCCTCTTTACTTGTTATCACATGCTGACGAATTCTTTTTTCCAATAAATCTCAAAGATGCTCAATAGGATTGAGATCAGGTGATTGTGGAGGTGTTTTAAGCTGTCTTGGAACGTTGTACAAAAGCCAAAGTCTAACAATCTCCGCTGTGTGTTTTGGGTCATTGTCCTGTTGGAACCAAAATGACGTGGGTAAGCCCCAATTATCTGCACATTGTTTCCAATTTCTTTTTAAAATGTTTAAATAACCCCATTTATTCATTGTCGGTTCAATAAATTTCAACTGACCTTCACCATCAGCCACCATGCACCCCCATATCATAACTCCACCACCGCCGTGTTTGACTGTACCAACAAGATTTCCTGATTTCCACCACACAATTTGACGACCTTTTATACCAAAGATGCAGAACTTGCTTTCGTCTGAAAATATCACTTGTTTCCAGAACTCCGGAGGTTTATTTATGTATTTCTTTGCAAATTCAACGCGCTTTTGCCTGTTAACAAGTGAAATATATGGTTTCTTTCTAGCGACTCTACCATGATATCCAGCTTTATGTAATACTTTCCTAGCAGTTTCCGCACAAATACGTTTTTTAAATGATTGTGTTATATATTTCACAATTTTCGAAGAAGTAATGAAAGGGTTCATCTTTATCATATGGACTATTTTTCGCTCTTCTCGGACTGATGATTTAGATGTTAAAATTCCGGTTTTTTTGAAGTTGTCCACTACGCGCTGGATTGATGAATGCGTTCTTCCAATAGTTTCACCAATTTTTCGGAAACTTTTCCA